ACCTCCCACCTTTCAATAATTACGGAGATCGTGGTTTCGGAGTGGTTGACATAATGCGGCAAAATTCGCTTGCCACTGTAGCCAAAGTGTGTTAATATTTCGGGTTAGTACCCTCAAACACGCCAAGTACATCACGCACTCCACTTTTTTCGACCGTGCAAAAACGTCTCTGATAACTCGTTAAACTCGATACAGCGACACACTTAGCACATGACACATATTACGTTTGCGGTGTTTACTTATCACAATTCCACGAGAGTATTAAAAAATCGGGCTCCTGGAAGTTAATGAACATTCGTGACAGCTAGTTCTCGGTCACATAGTCCCCTATTAATGGATTATCATTAATTCCATCCATTCTGACGAAAGGAAAACACTGGAAAAATTGAATGCCGTGCGCGTGAGTTTATGAATATCTTCGGGGCGCTGATATTTGAACTAAAATCATATGAAAACGTTTTTATCTGTTACATAATGTTCTCTAAGAAAGGTTTTTTGATATTTCCACTTGTTAGTTTATACAGATGTTTGTAATTAGACTATTCAGAAAAGAGTGTCGGGAGAACTTTTCTCTGAATGTGAATTTGGGATGAGGCAGACGTCTTTTAGGTTCCGCGTCATCTTCAGTTCATTTTCGCCAGCTAAAAACCATAAAAAATTCGTCAAACGAGTCGTCAGTTTTGTTATTCTGGTGTAAAAACATTGATATGGAGATGCCAAGTGGCAACAATTCATCCTGTCGTCCCTCAACTGCACAAACTCTTCGTTATTTTCAATTGTCCAGTTCCTTCGAAATGAAAAATGATTTACATAGACTGTTTCAACACCCAGCATCGCTTTTAATGTTTCAAACCATCACTTGTTTGCCTGGAGAACTCATTTTTTTGTCGATTGAATGGAAATCAAACACGCAATTAACTAAAATACGCGGCGTGTACATACACTCCATGCAGAATTTCCTTTCTCATTCGCTTTTAACTCTTGGGAGTGAGTCTACGAGGAATTGTTAAACACTTGGAATTGCTCCCCTGATACGTACGTTATATACGACTAGCGCTGGAATATTAAAATCCATTTAGCCGGAGGTAACTGGCAAGATTTACTTTGAATGCCTGTCATCTTTTACTCTTACTTCCATCAAATGTTTAATCAACCTTTCGACTGTCGGATATTTTTATTAAATCTTTCATTAACAACCAGTGCTCATTTTAAAAATTGTCGGAGGTCAAATTATCACGGAGTTGTCGCATGTTATTTCTTCGCATATTAGCTAAGTCCTCAATGAACAACTTCAAGTTCACGAAATGAATTTCTTCTGTTTGCAATAACCAATTCAGAGATAGAAGTTAATTGACGTGCATATGTGGTGAATACCAAATGAATACGAGATTCAAACCATTTATCTTCCTGCGGTTAAAAAACTTATAGGTCATATTTCATTAAAATCCTGCAAATTAAGAATGTTAGAATTTTCTAACTTAAGTATGCGAAAAAAATGGAAACACTCGATTCGTATCGGTGGAATAATAAATAAACGGGAATCGATACACGAATATGAATAAAAATGAAAATATTTGGGGAGGGGACTTGGAGTAGAGGAGAGTTGGGTTGAGAGACACAAAAAGATGGAACGAAGGAAATTCTAGTAACATCGAATTTAGTCTTATCTCAGACCTCTGGAGTTTCCTCTGAAGAAGATACGACAATGAAATGGGGGAAAATTAGGAGAACCTGAGATCCCAAGCTCTTGATTAAAGACGTCGAATTCTAAATCTCGGCGAACGGCGTGGGGGGAGGGATGGGCATTAAATGTGAGAACTCTTTCATCCAACTCACGAAATTATTGTTTTTAATATTTTACGGAGGAAGAATGGAGAAAACCTATATGTCATGGACTTTCGGAAAAGTTTAACTGAAACGTTTAAATTCGTGAATATGAATAAACATTTAATGGATAAATAATTTTTGTGTAAATCATAATTGATTTTTTAATGAAAGCTTGAATTGGTAATATTTTTATGGCTTTCCAGTGCCAGATCCATTAAGAAATAAAGAATTAACAGAATATTCAATAAATTATATGATTCCTCCATAAATAATTATTAAAAATTTCAAGTTTTTCTTGCGTGAAACTTCAAGTTTAATATTTCAAAAGTTTATAAATCTTATCTTGCGATGTAAGTGCAAAAAACTTAACGTTTACGTAATTTCTCAGAGAATAATTAAATTAATAATTGAATTCTGAAACTGGAATGAAATTTCATATTCTAGACATTAAAAAAATGAGAGTGAAAAATACATGGTTAAAAAATGGTTTGAAAATTACCGAAATCTTTCCTTTGATTTTTAATTTCAGACACTCTATAAATAGACAAGACAAGAACTATTGGATAAATTAAATGATTTCTTCATAAAAAATTATTCAATAATTCAAGTTTTTCTCGTTTGAAACTAGAAGTTTGATTTTCCAAAAGTCATGAGTCTCTTTTCAGAAAATAAATCAATCAATAATTGAATTCTGAAACGAGAACAAAATTTCATCTTCTAGACATGCAAAAAATGAGAATGAAAAATAAATAAGTAAAAAATCGTTTAAAAATCATGGAAATTTTTCTTTTTTGATTTCAGACACTCTCTATGAATAGAAAAGAAATCCATAAAATCTGAAAGTGAACTGAACACAATCGCATGTATCAGTAGCATGTGTACATTCCCTTCATCCTCCAGTGCAAATACCCACAGAGCCTCTCCCTTATTTATATGCAAATGGAAAAATACCAATCGCGCATAAGAGGATATTTTTGCACGGTTAGACTAGAGCTGAAGAAACAAAAATCGTCAGACATCGTGAAGAAAAAAAAGGGCAGAAGGAATCATTGAGACAGGAGAGACTATGGGAAATGGTGGAGGTGGAGGAGCTATCGGAAATTTGTGGCCCTATCTGATTCTTGAACTTGCACCGATGAAGCAGGATTATGGAGGTATTTTCCAGCCTGGAACTCTCTCTATTCCAAATGAAGACACTTGAAGAAAAGAGAAAGAATCTAGTACTTCCCGATGACAATCAGATCCTCTCTAGTAAAGACTCGATCATGTCAGTATTTTTTATCCAAATGGGAAAAATTTTCTCGGATCACCTCATAAGATG